TTTGTCTGCTACATCATCCCTCTGCTATCTGCATGAATCCTTTCTGACAAGTTTCCTGACACCAAGAAAAAAAAATGGTGACGGGAGAGACCTCCAGCAGATTGACAATCTCAGCTCTGTTCCTGTGAGCTGTGTGAAGGGGGGGGGGGGGGGGGTGTGTCTCTTTCCTCCAGTCAGCTCTCAGAACTCTCCTCACTGAGCTCTGCACAGTAACTTCAGCTCTCCATTCCTTTTTTTTGAACTCTCAGACAAGCTTTATAAATTTAGCATTTTGAATGGATGTAGAGAAGAGAGGACTGCAGATAGATAGGTACAACTTATGGAGAAGGATTTGTTTAATTTCTGTGTATCATCTGAGGCCAGTCACTTCACTGGGTATATGTAAGGGTTTACAACCAATTTAAGGAACTGATGCTATTTTGAAAGTACCATCCCTATTTCTATATGATCATTATATCTTTGCTATGTATATGCAATGTGTTTGGAATAGGTTTTTTAGTATATTGATCTATATTTTAGGATATATTTTTTTCTTTATAAATGATCATTTTGGCAGTAATCTGGGTTTTAGTAGGTATATTTGCTTTTAACGCATTTGGGGGTCTTTATAATTTTTTTATATATAAACATATGTTAAACATTTGGCTGCATAAGACTCATTTTTTTTCTATAAACATATATTAGAACTTCTGTGGAATCCTTATAAAAAGTAGATATTTTTTACAGTAAGGGGGCAATTGTCAAACATCACTTTCTGCAAATGAACAGGAAAATATTTGGGATTTTTTTAGCGACTGGCAGGACCCAAACCTTTTTGGACTGTCAGAGAAGCAGATTCTGGAAACTAAAGCTTTAAAATTTGTTCTGGCTGCATCCACCAAAAGACAAACTGCGGTCCATGCCCGAGCCAAGCCAGAATGCCGAGCTTCTTTCCGATAGAACTCAATCTGGCTTCTCATTATTCTTGTCCAAAGGATGAACCCCCAACAGTTCATCCTCCCACAACAGGGGAGAAAGGGAAGAAAAGTGCTCATGTTTGCATACCAGGTCTTCCAACCGAGTGAGAAACAGAGCTGATCAAGCAAGCCTGAGATGGCTGCTGAAAATTCCTCACTAGACACAAAAGAAATGTACCCCTGAAAAAGCGGGGAAAAAAAAAACAAAAAAAAAAAAACAAAACACAAAACAGATAAAAGACAGGGATTCTGGACATATTTCACCCTGACAGGAGAGCTTTTGATGGGCAAACTATGTGGGCAGCCTTCCCTACCTGAAGGGATTTGGGAGCTCACTCCTTTGTCCTTTACCCTCACCTCTCTCTGCCTACGTTCTGCCATGGCTTGCTCAGACACACCAGACCTCACCCCACAAGGGGCACTCACCACCTCAAGTTGAAGAAGCCCAATCATCACCCATCATGATGAGCATGCCCCAAAAAAGGGCTTTCAGAAATATGATTCGCCTTGTGAGATCACTGCACTGGACATGTACAGGAACCCGCCAGCATTAGTATTGGATAAAAAAAGGTTCCATGGTTAGTGCTGGCCGCAGGACCCAGTACCGACCCTGCAACCTGTCCATATTCTGCACTGGAGTCTGGGAGTGTGCATACCCTATCAAAGCTATGCTGTAATATACTACTGGTAAAGTTACCATTACAGAAATCAAAGGAAAAAAATTGGCTTAGGCTCAAAGCCAATTGAACACCATGGGAAAAATGTCTAAATCTTGTGTGAAAATGTATAAGAGACCTGGCTTCTACCTAAACTGACCTTGCACCAAAAAGACAATTCCTGGCTGCTTAGGCATGGGGAATAGAAAGTCCTAGGACAATAAGGGAGGATATCCCAGCTTAACCAAGAAACAAAGGCACAAAAGTTTAACTCACCAGTAGTGAGTTTAAAAAACATACTTAACCTGTATATTCACATAGGAAGCACAGAAGGTAGAAAATAGGAGACAGGTAAAACTGTCCAGTGCAAAAATGAGGAAAATTTTTCCACAACAAGGCATACAACTTGATAACTATGTAAAACATGAAGCATTCAAAGACAGGATCAGAAACTGCTGCAACTCTAGTCCTTGTACTCATCCAGGAATCCCCAGATACACTGGTCTGACCTGAATAGATAGACCAGTTTATCTGGGGATTCCTGGATGAGCACAAGGACTAGAGATGACTAACTGCACCACAAAATACAGTTTTGAAAGACAGGGTCAGATAAACTACATCTCTTTTCCTGGTATTCATCCAGGAATTCCAAGATTCTCTTTCCTGTCCAAAGTAATTGAGTCTTGAGCCAACAGGAACAAAGAGACTTACTGTCACTGTAGCTATCTCCAGCATGCTACATTGGATGCCAAAGTAACTACACATACTCATGACATGCCACAGCCCTGGTCCCTACATACAAGGATTTCCCAAACAATACAGGGCTGATCTTAAAATGCAAGTCCTGTGTGTGTTGCTATGAGTATTTTTGTGATTTTTATAGCATAAACATGGAATAAAAATGTTTACATTTTTAGAAGCAGCACTTCCTCTATTAATATGCTAATTAACTTGTTGGACTGGTTCATGGAGGCTAGTAAACAGAAGGTGATGATGGCAGAAAGTAAGGAGGCGGCAAAAAAAAAAAAAAAAAGGTAATGAACAAAGCCATGTGCTGAGCAAAACGGAAGCACTATTTGGAGGACTCTGGGAAACAAAGTAGTCTTGAAGAGGTCCTAGATAGAAGACAACTCCATATCACCAGCAAGAACAAAGAAGGAAAGGGGGACTCCAAACACCAAAAAAATCTGTGCAAATAGGGTACTTTCACCTGGGGATGACACTAAATCTACACTATAACTCAAGTTAAACAACTTTGTACAAGTCTAAGGCAGGGCTCAAAATTTCTACGCATGAGCTACTAGCCAGGCCTTAAGAGTTACTCGCCACCAGTTACCCAACCCCTACCCAGCCCCTAAACAGACCTAAAATGACACTGTTAAATGTTCCTCGCATTATCAGGGTTCTTAGAATCCCCTCACATTACATCAGGGTCCCCAGAGAGCCCCTGCATTACATCAGGGCTCTCAAAGTCCCCCTAAACACTCCATCATACTTCAACCATACATGGCATACAACCATAACCCCCCATAATCTCTCACTCACCAAATCATAACTTTACAAAGCATACCTACCTTCTATCCAACCCAGGAGTACCTCAAATGTCCTATACTCTACCACCCATAATAACCACATAATCCTGAACCTGTCCAAACCACCCATATATGTATGCGTACACCCACACATACATACACACACACCTATAAAAAGTTGCAGTACACTACCTTCCCTCACACAACCAGGTTCTGCACTCTATGGGGAGGCAGAGAGCACAGCTTTCACTTTGCTTAGCGTATTCAGCAGTCTGACTGAGCTCCCAGTGCTGTTGTACAGTGAAGTTTCAGACCAAGAGCTTCGGATCATCTCACAGCCTCTCTCTACCATGATGCCATGACACCCCTGAATGCACCCCGATTGGGAAAGGCTGCCCTAGAGTGACCGAGCTGGCCCAGAGCCCACTCAGTAAGACGATCCTGTGGGACACATTCGCTCCCATGTTATTTCTACTCGCCAAATGAGAGCAGGTGAGTGGAAATTTTGAAGGCATGCATTGTAAATGCTCATTTGCTAGGAAGTATAGATAGCGTGGGCATGTATATACTGTATGCATAGTTGTAATACTCTGTGTCTTGTACTGTTTTCCTAAAATTTTAAGTAGTTTATATGTACAGCATTATTGTTTAGAAAAAGCACATAATATACTATGTGCTTTACTGCAAAGTGACCTTAAAAGATACATAGCAAAAACACTGCTAACTGCAACACAGACGTTTGCCATCACTGGGAGTGCAGTGCCATCGCAGAGATATCACAGGTATGGAAAATCGGAAAGCCTTTGCTCCATTGACTGGATAGTCTTCGAGGAGGAAACTACAACTTCTCCTTAGCGATCTAGAAAAACCATGCAGAATTTCGATACATATAACTTAAATCTACCAGTGCTGATGGCTGAATGAAGAGATTTTCAGGACTTTTTTTATTTATATTTGGTATGAACCTGTCAGCAGCTGTTGACACAAGAAAGTCCTCCAGCAAAATGTTCCCAAAATTGTTTAAAGAAAACACATCCATACTCTTTGAGGACACTAACAAAAAACTGAGCCATTATTATTTTATAGGCATGACTATTCTGTATTGGCAAACAACTTTTTTTTTGCCAACATAACCCAACAGTTTAGAGCTGGCCAAACACAGATAGAAATGCAGCCGGTTCAGCAGGGACCAGCTGACTATTGTGTGGCTGTCCTTGTTTGGCAGAAGTCAGTCATTAGATCATGTTCAGTTTGACAAGTTGGAAAACTTTTGTCAATCCCTCTGTCAAATGATCTCATCTACTTCGCTTGTGTGGCTGAATTAAAAAAAAACAAAACAAAAAAAAAAAAAAATCTATGGCCAGCTTAAGAATTATAGAATTGCTGTGTCCCTCTATGGATGATAAAGAAAAAATTCACCCCACTTGTTCCAAGTGTGAATAGGTTAATAACCTCTATCATGTTTTATTCCTTCTTGTGTCCCCAATGGGGAGATAATTTCACATCTCTTGTCCAGTGACACCTTGCTAAAACCAAACACATGGTGACAGGATGGGAGGAAAGTCAGCAATAAAAAAACAAAAAAAACAAAGGAAAGGGTAACCTACTTCATAACGTAGACAAAAGCACCACCAAGATACAGCATATTGCACTCTGTGCAATTTATGAAAAACAGCTGTCAAGAGGTTACTCTAAACAACTAGAAATCTCAAGCACTAACCCAATGGGTTAAAAGAGCAGAGCTTGATGACTAGGGAAGAAATGCAATTCCTAGTACCTCTTACTCAAAAATAGATCTGGAGGTTTGTCATAAATCTGCATTTAAATTAAAGGCAGGTACAAAGAGAAACATTTACCTTTGGCTCTGAGACTGTGATGCGTGATCTGTATCTGATAAGGTGGCGAGGACAAAATGCACTTCAAGGACTGTGTCATCCACGCTGAACACTGCTGGGCTGTAACACAAACGAAAAGAAAAAAAAAAAAACCCAAACAAAAAAAAAAAAAATAGCCATTACTGAATTCAAGGCTCTAAAAACACAAACATATACCATAATGTAATGTTATTCAAATGGCAGGCTACCAAAGTCCACCCAAATTCAAGCCAGACAAAACTAACCTGTCTTTTGTTATACATTCACACCCTTACAAATGTAGAAGAACAAATGCATAATACTCATCGCCTACACTTTCCTATTCCATAGAGGTGACTGAAGCCGTTCCAGTCTCTGATTACATCTATGGTCAGCCAGCGGAAGGAAGGGGGGGTTGGGATGTCTCCTCCTGCTGCTTATTAGCCGCTTGGATCACTTTTAGAAGAAAGCTGACCGGCCCCAGTATAACCACTTGAAGTCCGGGTATGTAGCTGGTTATCAAGTGATTACATGAATTAAACGTTTTTTTTGGTTTTTACTTATAATTACTGTTTTTTCACTTTCTGGTGAAGTGGAAGCACTGGTGATGTAACCCTGGCCTCACAGTTGCATCCTGGGACATTCCTATCACATGGCAGACCCAGAGTTCTAGGCAGAGTTCTCGAAAGTAAAAGTAAAATGGATTAATCTGCCCTAATTGAAAATAGCCACTGAGAAAAATGGGGAAGAAAAAAAAACAAAAAACCAATGAGCGCAAGAGTGAAAATCTGGCAATTATATAAAAATATATGCGTGAACATTGCCAATACTAAACATGCTGAATGGCGTCCTTGTTATATCTTTTTTCAGAATGTGGTAGTCAGTCCAGGGCGTGAGCAATGTTCTTATACGTCACAACATGGGAGCACCATTCAGTGCAATAGCACTCTAATCCTGAGTTGCATGATGTCACCCCAGGGGGCAGGTCCATGACAGCCTGGGTTCAGAGGGGACGTTGATTGATGCTGGCCATCATTCTACTGAGAAACTAGGTACATTGGGTGCCATAAAAGGTATTTATTACAGGGAAAGCTTCAGCCTTGAAGATAAGCACTGCAGGAAAAGATGCTTTCTTGCAGTTGCTGTATGTGCATAGCAGTCACAGTGTTCCTTTGTCTCTTTAGATTTGCAGTCTTTGGTGTGTTAACATTGCCATGTTACTGGAACTTATATTTTGGGGTCCAGATGGCCATGTTCTATTACGGCTATAAACACTTTGCTTCAGCAAACATGTTTTGTGCTGTGAAGTCCATTCCAAGCCCACAGCATACAGCTTTGAGTCTCTGTTGAAGCCATAATGTTAGACTGTTACCCCCATACTTCTAGAGCTTTTTTAAAAATTCAGTTTACAATGAAGTATTATAAAACACTATGACAACTGCATGCCTGACACTTGACCATGACCCTTACACTTCAATTAAACCCATCTTTCTGCATTTATAAAGTATTCAGACCCTTTTCACTTTTTTCAATGTTCTCATTAACCGTTTCAATACCGTGAAATTTTACACCTTCCTGCCCAGGCCAGTTTTCAGGTTTCAGCGCTCTCACATTTTGAATGACAATTGCGCGGTCATACAACATTGTACCCAAACTAAAATTTGATCATTTTCTTCACACAACTAGAGCTTTCTTTTGGTGGTATTTAATCACCGCTGGGGTTTTTATTTTTTGCTAAATTAACAAAAAAAGACCAAAAATTTTGAAAAAAAAAACCACATTTTTCTTTGTTTCTGTTATAAAAGTTTACAAATAAATAATTGTTCTTCATAAATTTAGGCCAAGATGTATTCTGCTACATGTCTTTGGTGAAAATAACCCAAATTAGGATATATTTTTTAGTTTGTAGGAAAGTTATAGAGTTCACAAACTATGGTATAGATCTGAATATTGATCAATCCTGAAGTACGGACAGCCAATCTAATATCTTGAGGTCCAAGAATGTCAGAACAGTACAGATATCCCCCAAATGACCCCTTTTTGCAGAGTAGACAGTCCGACGTACTTCGTAAGAGGCATGGCGAGTTTTTTGAAGTTGTATTTTTTTGTCATAATTTTTCGGAAAATTAAAAAATTTAAAAAATTATTTTCACTATTTATTTTTTTTACATACTGTCACCAGTGCAGTACAGCGTTATCATATAACTGGCATGGCGGTGAACAGCGACACTGACTGGTGACAGTATGAAAAAAAAAATATATATTTTTTTTTATTTTTTTTTTTATTATATTTAATTTTTTATTACATTTTTTTTAAAAAATTTTAAGATTTTTTTTCATATTTTACTATGACCAAAATAGTACAATGTTATCATAGTAACACTGTACTACTTTGGGGAAGTGATCAGTATTTTTTTTTTTTTTTTTTTTTTTTTTTACACAATTTGCTTATAGCAAAGAATTACTTTGCTATAAGCAAGCATTTACCTGAATGAAATCGATTCATTCAGCTTTTTTTTTTTTTTTTTGTGCTTCGCTGTGATTTGGTCACAGCTAATCACATGACATGTGCATGTGATTAGCTGTGACCATTCACAGCTAGGCACTAGTATACAATGGACGGCATCATGAATGAAGCCATCCATTGTATACAACTGTCATGTGACCTGCTGTGATTGGTCACAGCAGGTCACATGGTACCGGCAACGGGAGCCGGTACTTGGATCTGTCATCGGCCGTGTCCGAAGTGCGCGGGCGGCGACAGATCGCACTGCTGCGTCGCTCTGCAACCGCGCATGTGCGGGAGCACGCCAAATGGCGTGCACCCGGAAAGCTGCAGCGCTTTTCAAGCCGCCAAACGGCCATTGGCCGGGCGGCTAATGGTTAATCTACACTCAGTACCCCATAATGACAAAGTGAAAACAGAATTTTGAAAATGTCTGAAGAAACTGAAATACCACATGTACCCAAGTATTCAGACCCCTTCAAACAACAGTTGAAATTTAGAACAGGTGCCTCCAATTTCTCTTGCTTGTTGCTGAGATGTTTCTACACCTTGATTGGGGTTTACCTGTGGTAAATTAAATTGGTTGGACAGGATTTGGAAAGCCACACAATTTACTATAATAAGGCCTCACAGCTGACAATGCATACTGAGAGCAAAAGCCATGAGGTCAAAAAAAAAAAAAAAAAAAAAAAAAAAAAAAAAAAGGTACTGCCTGCAGAGCTCAGAGACAGGATTATTGAAAGGCACAGATCTGGGGAAGGCTACAAATTCTGCTTCACTGAAGGCTACCAAGAGCACAGTGGTCTCCATAATTCTCAAATGGAAGAAGTTTGGCACAATCGGGACTCTTCCAAGAGCTGGTTGCTTGGCCAAACTGAGCAATCAGGAGGGAAGGGCCTTAGAGAGGTAACAAAGAACCCGATGGTCACTCTGACTGAGCTCCTGTGTGAAGATGGGACAAAATTCCAGAAGGACACCGATCACTGCAGCCATCCACCGATCTGGACATTATGGCATAGTGGCTAGACAGAAGCCTCTCCTCAGTGCAAAACATGAAAGCCCACTTGGAGTTTGCACAAAAGCACTTCAAGGACGCTCAGCCTGTCAGGAACAAGATTCTCTGGTCTGAGATTGCCAAGATTGAACTGTTCGGCCTCAGTTCTAAATGTTATGTCTGGAGGAAACCAGGCACTGTTCATCAGCTGCCCAATATTATCCCAACAGTGAAGCATGGTGGTGGCAGCATCATGCTGTGGGGGTGTTTTTCAGCAGCAGGGATTGGGTGACTGGTCAGGGTTGAGGGAAAGCTGAATGGGGCAAAACAAAGATATCCTCAATGAAAACCTGTTCCACTGCACTCAGGACCTCAGACTGGGCCAAAGGTTCACCTTCCAAAATGACAGTGAACCTAAGCACACAGCCAAGACAGCACAGGAGTGGCTTAGAGATAAATACGTGAATGTCCTAGGAGTGGTCCAGCCAGAGCCCTGACTTGATACCTTTTGACACTTTTCTTGAGACATGAAAATGTCTGTCCACTGATAGTCCCCACCCAACCTGACTGAGCTTTAGAGGATTTGCAAAGAATGGCAGAAAATATCCCAATCCAGGTCTGCAAAGCTTGTCGCATCATACCCAAAAAGACTCAAGGCTGCAATTGCTGCCAAAAGTACTGAGTAAAGGGTCTGAATACTTCAGTACTTGTGATACTTCAGTTTTTATTTTCAATAAATTCTCAGACATTTCTAAAATTTTGTTTTCACTTTCTCATTATGGGGTACTGAGTGTAGATTAACGAGGAAAAAAAAATGAACTGGAACAACTGTAGTATCAGGCTGAAAAACAAAATTAAAAAAAGTGAAAGGTCTGAATAATTTATGAATGCACTGTACTTTGCTACTTCAATATAGAAATTATTAATTATAATTTGTACATACAGTTTTATTATTCGCAAATTAATCTTATCTAAAATGACACACAAAAACACACAGATTTAAACTCAAACCCCATTAACCTTTGTGAAAAATACACAAGTAATGCCAGTAACAAATTAATCTTTACCACCTTGACCTTTAGCAGGGTGTGAAGGCCAGGCAACCTTGCTGTGTGGTAAAATTATTAATAGTATTAAGTCTGGTCAATTGCAGACTCAATCATCTGCCTACCAATTATGATGTATTGACAGATTACATACCACTGACAGGTGTATGCGTATACACCTGTTTTTTTGTTTTTACATAAGCAGCACCTATAACAGGCCATGTCAATTGCCCCACCACAATGCTGCTACTTGTAAGCACTGCATTTCTGAAATCACATATATATTTTAAAATATCTAAAATAAAAAATAACCACACAATAAAAGTGCACACCTCTAAACATTGTAATCTAACCCTTTGGAGGGAGACCATGGGTCAGCATATACTGCCGACTCTTCTCTTTTATATTCCAAATCAAAAGAGGGCATCCTAGGAGCCCAAATCCATGGGCATCCTGACAAGTTACAGCAAAGGCAAATATTCCATGGTGCAATGCACAATGCTTAAAGGGTTAGTTTAACTTTAAAGAAAAAATGTAAAAGGGGAACACCAGACACCCCCCCAAACCCTCCTCCCCCGGATCCTCGCTGTACTTGCCTCTGAGGTTGCCAAGCTGTCAGCCGCTCCAGTAGTCCAAGGATTTGGAATCCCCACTCTTCTCCATATACTGCTTCCGGACAGGGCTGGATCTAGCCTTTCTGATGTGCAATAAAAATTGTTGGGGGGAGGGGGGTGCGAGGAGGATGGGAGGTCAGCAGGGTAGAGGATAGGGTCACCAGTTCATAGGGGAGAGGACAGGGGTCGCAACCGACAGGGCGGAGGAGAGGGGTCAGTTTTGCCAGGGCAGAGCACAGGGGACACTGCTGGCAGAGCGCTCAGCAGAGCTCCTTCTCCCATCCCTGTAGTGCACACAGCATGGGCACAGGCAGCAGAGCTTCTCCTTCTCTATCTTCACACAGCTGGGATCAGTATTGTGTCAGGCTAGGGCAGTAAAGTGTCAGATTAGGGCAGCATATTATGTTAGGGTAGTAATAGTGACAGATCAGATCAGGGCAGCATAGTGGGAGTACTGTGACAAGTTAGGGTTGATAATGTGCTCAGTCACTTACCACATGCCTGGAGATGAAGACTCCTGGGCTCCTGTGTCCACTCCTCTCCAATTTCGGAACAGCCAGAGTAAAAGGAGTCTGCGAGAGGATGCAGCCACACCCCCAGCCCCACCAGCCAACTTCGGCTGCCTTGGGAGAGATTGAAGATCCTCATGCTAATTAGAGGACAGGGGAGTGGTACAGGCAGCCTCTCCCACACTTCTGCGACCCCTGCTGACCCGATCATCGGATTTCACTAGGCAGCACATTTAGTAGTACATTTGCAAAGCTGCAACAAAAGGGAAAGTACAGCTGCCTGCACAGTATGGCTCAGTTGACAGGCAGAGCATTTGAAGGGGGGGGGGGGCATAGCTCACCCCAGCACTACCCTAGATCCGCCCATGCTTCAGAGACAGGCGAAAGATTCACTCTGACGGCGCTGACCAATCAGAATTGATCTGGTCCAAATAGGAAGATTGGAAACCTGGAAGCTAAGTACAGCAGGGACGAGGCAGTGGGGAGATGTCTGGTGTTCGCTCACCTTTACATTTTTTCTATATAGGTGAACACTTTGAGTGACCCCTGTGGAGGACTGGGTCCTCAATTGGGATGCAGTGTTGTGCCTATGCCATGATTGCTATTAGGAAAAGGGGGCTCTCTGAACCGAGATATTTCAATTTTATTTTTTTAAGGGTCTTGATAACAGTCTAGCCATGTGCTTGTTTTATGGCAATAATGAATCAATATGGAATAAAAAAGAAGGATAATAACCTTTGAGCCTGAACCTTTAAGACTCAAGTCAACAGTAGCAGCCATCTTAATCATAATGTACAAAGACTCACCAACCGGCACTATCAAAATGTATCGAGATGGGAAGACCACTGGACTCCGCAAAACCAAGGAGACCCTGAGGATGAAAATAAAACATTAAAAAGTTAACCTTTGTGCAATAGAGTGCATAAATTATTAAGTCGTGTTATATAGCACGACAGATGAAATTAAAGGTCAGTTCTACCCAAAAGAGATTTCAGTTTTGTTTTGTTCTGAAAAACTGGATCAAAAGATGGTGCCCTCCTCTCCCTCATGAACTCTCAATACACTGCAGAATATATGAAAAGGCAAATCCGGGGGTATAAGCAGGTAAGAATTCAATAATTCAATGCATACTGTAAGTGTAAAAGGAAAATAAATATATTCATTTTGGTGGGGTGAGCCTTTAAGTTTTAGGATTAATTGCAGAAGAACCAGATCTTATTTCACATACACTGATAAAGAGTGGTGCTTTAGAACAAATTGTACAACCCAGAACAAGTCTGCAGATAAATTACTTTAGTTTGACCTTATGCATAAATTTTTTTTACGTGAGTGACTCAATCGAGGCTAGAGGGTCAGCAGAACAGCCAGGCACTGGTAGGTGGCACTGATGGGCATTGACAGGCATCACTATTGGGCACTGATAGGCAGCACTGACTGGCACCTCACACTGAAAGGCAGCTCAGATGGGCACTGATATGTGGCATTGATGTGCACTGATATGTGGCATTGATGTGGCACTGATGGGGCTACACTGAACATCAGTGCCCTGATGATCAGTGCCCATGTCCCCTCTGAGGAATGCCAATTATCGGCTCTCCTCTCCTCACGAGCTGTCAGCGTCACAGCTCGTGAGGAGAGGAATGCAGAAAACTGGCATTTCCTTATTTACATGCGATCGGTTGCGATTGGATACAGCTGATCACATGACAGAGCCGACGTCATCTGCTCTTTCCACTGATCAGTGATCCGCTGCGTCCAAGGGACACAGCGCATCACCGATCGCGTGCTGCGTGGCCCCAGGGGCGTGTACACGTGGTTGGAGTGGGAGGACGTCATATGATGAAAAAACGTGATTTTTATGGAAGTTTTGCTTTGTGCATAGTTCCTAAAAAGTCCCATTTCTTTGAAAAGGGTTGTAGTCTATATGCTTTTTTATAATTTGTATAATAAAAGGCTTATTTAAAAAAGGGACATGGCTAACTTTATAAATTTTTTTCTCCATATTTTTGCTCTGTTTTGAAGATGTCTGTAGTAGTCTGGCAATAGTAGTTACACAAGCAAAAAACTAAGATATGCTTTTAGTGGAGGGGGTTGTACCAGGACAACACTGTTTTTTGTTTGCCAGTATCCAAATCCTGCTGCACACAGCAGTACAACCAATCTCGCTGCTCCCCTAAATGGATATAGAAAGTAATAATAATGTGCATAACAGTATCCTAACACAGAGTGAGCAATGATAGGTCAGCTACCTATGTCTACCTGAACTGAAAAGGTAAGATACAATTAGAGTTACTGAACTTCACAATATATTGTGGGAAAATGTCAATGTCTCAAGGTCTTCTTACCCTGAACTCACGCAAGCAAAATGTGATCTGACTCTGCTTCTTCAGCTGATACACCAGGAATTCCTCTCTGCTTAGGGACAACTCTGTTAGCATTGCCTTGCTGGGATCTGAATTTAAAAAAAAAAAAAAAAAAAAAAAAAAAAAAAAAAAACACACACACACCATAAGAGCACTGCAAACACAGCAAGTCACACATTAGGATTACTACAAAACAAAGATTTATTAAATAAACTCTGCTGCCCATATCAACCAGTCAGTTTCTCTCATCTTCCTGCAATGAAAAAAAATTACAGCTAGAATCTGTTTGCAGTGGACTGGCTTGACAGCACCCCTTAATTGTTACATATTAGGTTTGGAGCCAAACTTGGATTTCCACGCAGTACCAAGCTCTATTTCAGAGCTTTCAGGGCACACGGGAGAGAAATTATATTAAAGCACAGATACATCCCATCACCTTGTGAATTTTCCCACATGTTCTTTAGCTTTTTTCTGATAATAGGTTTAAAAGTAAAAAAGCCTTTAAAAATTAAAGAGTACCTAAGTTCTCAATCAAAGTTTTTATTTTTACTAAAGGCAGTGTACACGTCAAGAGCAGAGACTTTCAGTTACACAAGAGAAGGGAGCCTATATTTCCATGGGTGAACTTGGCATAAGAGAGAACATCTTACCAAAACAACTGGAACAGCTGTGTGGTCAGAAACACAAGTTTCAGGATTTTGGACCAAGACCTTTCAGCATTTCTGAATGAGCTCAAAATGACTGTCACAATGAAAAAGCTTAAAACAGGCTTAGTTTCCAACTATTAAAAATAGCCACATACTGGCAAATTTTTTGTATGAACATTTGTACGTAAAGAAAAAAAAAAAAAAAAAAAAAAAAAATCAAATCGGTACATTTGTTAATGTCACCAGAGATTTGAGGAGTTGTATGAAACTGAATTTTCCAAACAACATTAACTGTTAGTCCTCATGCACACGTTTTTACAGCGGCTGTTTTTCGCTTTTGACAGGTTTTTTTCTACAGCTAGTAAACCCCCCAGTATGTTATCCTATGTGTCCATGCACACATTAATATATTATACAGGATTTATATAGGGCCAACAGTTTGCTCAACGCTGTAAATTATAATGGGAGACTGTACACGAGACAGTACAGTGACAATACAATTCAATACACGAGGGGTTCGAGGGCCCTGCTCCTTGGAGCTTACAATCTAGGAAGGAGGGGATAGTGGTACAGGAGGAAATAGCTGTGGGGGATGGAGTGGTAGGAAGAGTGGAGGAGTTCAGTAATTAGCTGAGGGCGGGGTAGGCTTCCCTGAAGAGATAGGTTTCCAGCGTGCGTCTAAAGGTGAGGAGAGTAGGTGATAGTCTGATGGATTGGGGTAGGGAGTTCCAGAGGATGGGGGAAGCCCTGGAGAAGTCGTGGAGACAGGCATGGGAGGAGGAGAGCAGGGAACTAGAGAGTAGGAGGTCTCGTGAGGAGCGGATAGTATGTTTTGGGTAGTATTTGGATACCAGATCGGTGATGTAGTTTGGGGCAGTATTATGAACAGCTTTGTACGTCAATGTTAGCATTTTGAATTTTATCCGTTGGGCAATCGGAAACCAGTGGAGGGATTGGCAGAGGGGGGTGGCGGATACAGAGCGGTTAGTAAGGTGGCCGAGTCTGGCCGCAGCATTCAAGATAGACTGAAGCGGGGATAGCCTGCGGTGAGGTAAGCCGATGAGGAGGGAGTTACAGTAGTCGAGTCGTGATAGAATAAGGGAGTGAATGAGTTGCTTAGTGGTTTCCGGGGTTAAGAACGGACGTATTTTGAAGATGATGCGGAGGTGAAGTCTACATGAGTTTGTCAGCGATTGGACCTGGGGCTGGAAGGACAGATTGGAGTCTAGGATGACACCTAGTACACTGGCTTGAGGGGTGGGACTGATGGTGGTGTTGTTGGTCTTGATGGAGAAGTCAGGGGGAGGGGCTACAGAGCGGTTAGTAAGGTGGATGAGTCTGGCCGCAGCATTCAAGATAGACTGAAGCGGGGATAGCCTGCGGTGAGGTAAGCCGATGAAGAGGGAGTTACAGTAGTCGAGTCGTGATAGAATAAGGGAGTGAATGAGTTGCTTAGTGGTTTCCGGGGTTAGGAACGGACGTATTTTGGAGATGATGCGGAGGTGAAGTCTACATGAGTTTGTCAGCGATTGGACCTGGGGCTGGAAGGACAGATTGGAGTCTAGGATGACACCTAGTACACTGGCTTGAGGGGTGGGACTGATGGTGGTGTTGTTGGCCTTGATGGAGAAGTCAGGGGGAGGGGCACAGGCTGGGGGGAAAACTAGGAGCTCAGTTTTGGAAAGATTTAGTTTGAAGAAGTGGAGTGACATCCAATCCGATATGTCGTTCAGTAGGCTTGTGATACGTGCGGAGACTGAAAGGGTGAGGTGGGGGGTAGAGAGATAGATTTGCGTGTCGTCGGCATAGAGATGGTAGCTGAAGCCATGAGAGTGTATCAACTGGCCAAGGGAGGAGGTGTAGATGGAGAAGAGAAGGGGCCCGAGGACAGAACCTTGAGGGACCCCAACAGAGAGGGGGAGTGAAGAAGAGGTGGCAGCGTTATAGGTAACACTGAAGGAGCGCTGTGATAGATAGGAAGAGAGCCAGGAGACAGCGGAGTCTCTGAGGCCAAGAGAGTGTAGTTTTTTGAAGAGGAGGGGGTGGTCAACCATGTCGACAGCCGCAGAGAGGTCGAGGAGCAGGGGCACTGAATAGTGGCCATTAGCTTTGGCAGTTAGCAGGTCATTGGTGAGTTTGAGTAGGGCAGTTTCGGCAGAGTGTAGGGGGGCGGACGCCAGACTGTAGGGGATCAAGGAGGTTGTTGGTGAGGTGGGAACTCAGGCGATTATAGACTAAGAGCTCGAGGAGATTGGATGTAAGTGGCAACAGGGAGATGGGTCTGAGGTTGTTCAAGTCGGTGGGATCCAGTGAGGGTTTTTTTTTTTTTTTTTTTTTTTTTTTTAAGTATGGGAGTGATGTGCGCGTGCTTTAGAGGGGAGGGGAATGTGCCAGTAGAGAGGGAAAGATTAAAGATGTGTGTGAGGGAGCGTAGGATGGAGGAAGAGGGTGATCGTAGGAGTTGTGAGGTGACAGGGTCGAGGGGGCAGGTGGTGAGGCGGGCTTCAGAGAAGACCTTAGTGACCTCTTCAGTGGTAGCGAGGTCGAAGGAGTGGAGTGTTGAGGGGGTTTTAATGTGAGGGATGCTAGGTGGGGTGGAAGTCTGAACAGTGGCGATGTCCCTACGAATTGCGTCGATCTTGTTTTTGAAGTGGTTAGCAATCTCGTGGGCGGTGTGAGTGAGGTACTGGGTGGAGGTGGGGGCGGAGAGAGTAGAGAGTTAAAAGTAGAGAAGAGCCGGTGAGGACTGGAGAAGGTATTAATGAGGGTAACAAAGTAGGCCACCAATATGTGACGATCCCACGATCGCTGTCACCAATATGTGACGACCGTGGCGTCAGACCCCAGCCCTTCTCACCAAACTCGTAACCGAAGGAATAGCCAATCTAAAACCGCGATGTCACGTGCGTAACAATGCCACACCCAGCTGCACCCTGCACAATGATTTTCCAGCTAATTGGACCACAATCTATGTACCGGCAGCCTGAGCGATTGTTACTGGGTCAGGTTAATTACGCAATTAACCCTTCACACTGCCACCACCTCCTTTTTGTACAGAGAGAGGAAACTCGGCTATACCAGCAATAACACTATAATGATTGAGATAATCGTCAACACGGTCACCGCAGGCCGGTTATGCAGAGGGTTAAACAAACACAGTAGCGCTCTTTTTAGAGGCAGGAATTCGTAAATTGCAATTAAGAGCTATAGAAACAGTTCGACACTTTCAAAAGGAAAGATTTATTACTGAAAGTCAAAAAGGGGTGCAATAAAAATATTTACAGAACAAAGATGTAACCAATATATATATAAATATACAAAGAACAGCACAGCAAAGAGATAACAGGGAGAGGTTAAAGGGTTAAAGTACTTTCCAAAGTCCTGGGTTAGCAGATCAAGTTTCAGAGCGAAAGGGTACGGGTCTCCCCAGGTGGTTTGATGTTAAAATGGGAGACTTCTTCAACTTAACTCTTAGGCCTGACAGCCCATTTTGTGGTCCCCCCGCAGGGTGTGTGTCTAAAGCCAAGGACCAATGCCTCATTTAGTGAGGGACGGTCTGGGTGGATACCTCAACAAGAGCCAAAATCTCTCATAACTCATATTTTGGCTCATAACTTTCCATATGCATAAGTGACACTCCACCCGCAGGTAGATTATTACGCAGACACGTCTGAGAATTGATTAGATATGAATTATGAAATTCTACACTGAATGGTTCACGAGATCTACTTTTCTGCTTTCCTATGTATTCGAGACAAGGAGAGAGACCCATCAAACTGTTCGCCTCCTCTTGGCCAGTCTGATGATATGCCTGGTTTTATGTACAGTGGGGCAAAAAATATTTAGTCAGCCACCAATTGTGCAAGTTCTCCCACTTAAAAAGATGAGAGAGGCCTGTAATTGGCATCATAGGTAGACCTCAACTATGAGAGACAAAATGAGAAAACAAATTCAGACAATCACATTGGCTGATTTGGAAAGAATTTATTTGCAAATTATGGTGGAAAATAAGTATTTTGTCACCTACAAACAAGCAAGATTTCTGGCTCTCACAGACCTGTACCTTCTTCAAGAGGCTCCTCTGTCCTGCACTCATTACCTGTATCAATGGCACCTGTTTGAACTTGTGATCAGTATAAAAGACACCTGTCCACAACCTCAAACAGTCACACTCCAAACTCCACTATGGTGAAGACCAAAGAGCTGTCGAAGGACACCAGAAACAAAATTGTAGACCTGCACCAGGCTGGTAAGACTGAATCTGCAATAGGCAAGCAGCTTGGTGAGAACAAATCAACTGTGGGAGCAACAATTAGAAAATGGAAGACATACAAGACCACTGATAATCTCCCTCGATCTGGGGCTTCACGCAAGATCTCACCCCGTGGGGTCAAAATGATCACAAGAACGGTGAGCAAAAATCCCAGGACCACACAGGGGGA